TGTGTGTGTGTGTGTGTGTGTGTGTGTGTGNGTGTGTGTGTGTGTGTGTGTGTGTGTGTGTGTGTGTGTGTGTGTGACTTAGATTTACCATTTAAAAGCAGAAACGGTGAAGCTTTCTGATATGAGAAAACTATTTAGAGGCTGCCATCTAGTGGATTATTGTAACATTACAAGAGTAAGATTGGTGGAACTAAGTGATGTCAATATTGCTACCGCAAAAGATCAAATAAAAGTAAGAAAACCTAAACTTAAACATAAGGCAAGTAGTTCATATGTTTGTGTGTCATTTTTGATTCCAGCTACTTTTGTTGTTGTTGGCTTAAAATAATTAAAAAAGATAAACACCCCCCCCCCCACACACACACACACACATACACACACGCACACACATTGCATAGCTCCTCCATAATCCCACAAAAGGGAAGCGCTCTCTTTGTCAGAAAATGGGATTGCTTACCTCATCTCGATGCACCTCAATGCTTACTTTCAGACATGATACTGTTTTCATTTGTTTTTTTTTTTTTTTGCAAGAAAATCAGACAAGCCAACTTTACATAAACTTACAGTTGAAACAAGAAAGCTTTTGTTCAACACATTTGCCTACAAACTTACTGAGTTGAAACTGTTTGCTCAACACACACATGTTTATTGTGAGAGTCTCTGTGGATCTTGATGACTTTCTGGACCTGCATGCAAAAAAGCTTACAGGAAACAAGTGAAAACACATTTGTTTATAACATAATAGGCAGCTTCTAAACAGACACATAATGCAAAGCTCATCTTCTTTAGTTTTTTATTATTTGAAAAGTATGTTTTCCATTTATTTTGATATTGTGTAAAATGTCTTAAATTGACAAAAGGAAATGGTTGAAGAAAACGGAGACTTTGAAATACAAACCATTCTGCATAGGAATAATATTTGGAAGATAATGTTGGAGGATTTAAATAACTTTCTTATTTTGACAATGCCACTTTGTTACTTTACACACTGGATAAAAACTATGAACAGTTCTGAATGTTGTGATGCTCCTTTGTTGATTGGGAAAAGTTCAGAATATAGGATTTCCCTTTCAAGCTCATTCCACCTACCAATTTATTATTATTATTTTTACTTGATGTGGTTTATTTAGTGGGAACCTTTCTTAAATGAAACTTCATAAATCTGGAGCAACAGAAACATATTCTGGATGCACAGGCTTTGGCTTGACCTTATGTGTCAGTAGCCCATTTCTCATCAGAATGATCTAGTTCCCCAACAACTGACTCAAGTCTTGATGAAATCATAGTTTCCTTGAGGTCACTGACAGGATTTGAATAAATGAGTAAAAATATAAYGGATAACAGGAACAACCATGATATCACTGTCCAGAAGAGTGAAGTCCTACAGCTAACACTATTAAAGAAAAAAGGGGATTACCTTGAAACTTGTCCATTTCAGATAAACTAAACAATAATAAATACTCTTCACAATGCACAGTATAGTACTGACAGTGTACACTCAATGAAATGATGGAGGCAGAGGAGTATCCAGCAACAGAACCAAAAAAATAAGACATGAAACAACAAAGATCCTGGATTACCTCAGGAAGGTAATCTCGGATGTTAAATGTCTAAGTGAAAGGTTTGAACATTAGTAACTCAACTGAAATCATTATGGTGACCATTTTCAGGGCACATAAACATCAGATTGAGGAAGTGGTTGAGTCAAGAAATCCTTTGTTAACTAAAGTGGGCTGGATGAAGGGACAGCACAGAGGCACCAATCATGGCAGCACAAAAGCAATAGAACCACGGTCCAGCCCCATAATGGCACAGTGTAAGATGCAGGCAGGTACAGCTGATTCATGAAATGACAAAACCAACTGGTGATTGAGGACAACCATGCTGAGCATTAATAGGAAACCTCCAGATCGCAGTGACACCAGCAAAGGTAGAGGTGAATGACAGAGTCATTAGGTCTGATCAAACAGGTGATGGCTATCCAGTCAGACACTCAACAAGAAGAGAGCAATAGTGACAGATGTAGACTCTATAGATGGTAATGTTTTGGAATAAAAAAATAAACTATGACAATACTTTCTCAAGCCACAGTGACTTTCCTGCAAGTTTGCTTTTCCTCTGCTGACAACAAGCTGACCCTGCTGGGCCTCATGTTTCCTTGGACCTGTCCGTCTCGTCCTCCCGCCTACAGATCTTTACACAAGACTGAGTAATCATGTTGGGAGAAATGAGTGTGGCAGGCCTTCCCTTCCTGCTGCTCACAGATCTGCACACGACACTGCAAGGGTTAGAAAAAAAACAACCTTATATGGTGACAGACATTTTTATGCATTTCCTCCACTGTCAGGAATAGATTTGAATTATATCTTGAAAAATAATTAGGTTTTATAAGTTTTGTTGATGGACATGGCCAGAAAACAAACAATAAAACTCTTTATTTAATGGGCAATATCATGTAAAATCAACTTTTTTGAGTTTTATATCATGTTAAAATGTTATTCTCTCATAAAAAAACATGCCCAAAGCCTTGCTCTGACTCATTCATGCATGTTTTAGAAATCCTGCAGTGTTTTTAGGAAGCCATGCAGAGGAGCAAAACAACAGGTGGGGACCAGAAACAATTTTTGGTACCAGGAACGCCCCTGGGACGTGTCTTTAAGCTGAACTTCCTCATCACGGCAAGTAGGAGTCTCTGCGGATGAGTGCGGATGAGTGGGCGTGTCACAAGGAAAAGTGATTCTAATGCGACACGATTTGATAGACTTTGTTAAAGGGACACAYCTGACTGGACAAGCAAAAAAGGGGCGATACCGCACGGCACCACCTCATTGGACAAGAACAAAAGGGGCGTTACTGTACGGCACCACATTTTCTGGAGAATCCTACTTGGGTCACATTTCTCCTGGTTAACCTTAGTGTTGGGGTCAGGGTCAGGCTGTAAAGAGATCAAGCAGGATCTAAGGATACAGTCATGTAGGCCTCGTAGCCCACAGTGTTCGTGCTTTTGACACGCCCACTCTTGTGACACGCCCACTTTGATTCCGCAGATAACCCCTTCTCCATCAGGGAGCACACCTCCCCACCCCCCACCCCACACACCCTGCCCATGACTCCTGCAGGCTCTTGGGTGAAACTGAAAGTGAAACTGAAACTGTCTGCTGAGCTCCACTACTTCTCACTCAGTGAAGCACTTTTCAGATTAAAAATACCTTTGAGGAAATGTATTTTCAGATGCCAAGTAAACTGCAACATCCCCCCACATTGAAATGAATGAGACAGAAGCAGAAAGTTGTTCTTAAAGAGACAGAGGCCAATTTCAAGGCATTTAGAAGAGGAAGTGATGAGAAGATAAGTTTATTTTCTATTTAAACATAAAAACAGCATTTCAATAACAGCTAAAGGTGACATAGATACTTTATTATGGGCTGTGTCCAAAACGGCAGGACGGGTCCTCCGAAGGTCAAATTCGTCGGCCGCATACGTCACAGCGCCGCGACGAAGGACGTCCAAAACGGAAGACTCCTCCGATGCGGCCGACAAATACGTCCTTCTTTTTCCCCGAATCGAAGGACAGGTCCGATGGATCCTTCCCGGCCCAGCATATCCCATAATGCATTGCGGCCCGACCGGAGATTTTTTTAAGCTAGTAATGGCGGACGAAGTGAGGGAAAAGAATACATTTTAAATAAAAATATGGTGATATAAAAATTTAAAAAAAATTAGCAGTTGTAATTCTAATACTTTTATCATTTGTATGGACGTATTCTTTAAATATTAATTTTTCGTCATAAAAAACGCGAAATAAACATGAACCTACAGTGGGTCAATTAGTTCTTCAAATGATACTTTTAAGTTAATTTCATAGTTTTGTGATATTAATAATGCTAATGTATTGATATTTTTCTAATTTTGATTTAAGTTTGCTTGTTTAGCGTCGTCACAGTTGCTAGGTGACAAGACATACGCCGGGGTAAGGAGTGGAGGCTAGACCGTCCAAATCCACAGCCTCTTTTTTCCGGTCTTCCCGGTCTACCAAGGACCCAGCCCGCCGAGACCGGGTAGTCTGGGTCCTCCAGAGGACCCGTCCTGCCGTTTTGGACACAGCCATGGTATAGTATTTAAATGTATGCCTGAGAAACACATAATATTGGCCCTTTAAGGAATCTTGGTAAACGTTCAGATTTAGAAACATTTTACTGACTAGCTTTCAAAATATTTCTTTATAAAATTTTACCCCCTCCCACAAAAAAGTAATAAATAAAAATAATGTTGAATAAAAAAACTTTACCCCCCCCCCAAAAAAAAAGATAAATAAAGTAATGAATAAAAAGAAACTCCAAGCATGATTTGATTTTTGTTCTTTTAAAACAGCCTTTTGTTAGGTTTTTATTTTATTGTTTTTTAACCATATTTGTGATTATAGGCTAGCAACTCTTCTAGAAAGAGRAGATGAAATTGAACAATCTCACTGCTCTTGAGAGCTGACCCTTTCATCATAGCGTCAGTACTTTTGGATCATCATACTTCATAACACGGCCTGCTTTCTAAGCATTATCATTCTGTGTTTCATTTTGCATTTATATGTGGAATAAAAACAGCAACTTTCCATCAAAATGAATGCGTGTTCCCCCCACATTTTCTCCTCTCTCTGCCACGTCTGTGTTTTTGGGAAACAGCTGCACCCAGAGGAATKCCTGTGTGAACCTTGAACAGACAGAGGCCACTCTGTTAGTTGTCATTATGACACAGACARCAGACAAAGAAAAAAAAAATAGGTCACCTTACACTCTCAGCACTGCAGGACCTCAGGAGTGACCTCGCTCCTCAAATCAGAGCCAGGCTTCTTTTGTTTTGATGTGTGAGTGTTTCTTTCTAAGCAGCAAACCCTCAGTGCCTCCAAAACTCATTCAGGGTGAACAGAGAAAAAAAGAAAAAACATGATAGGCTGGCTTGTGGGCGGGCAGTATGGTAATTCTCTCCAGAGGAAGTGAGCACAGTGTGGTGGAATGTAGTTGCCATTAGTGGGAGTTGAACTGAGGCTGGCTAATAGTTAGCCTGTTTGAGCTGGAGACGCACAGGAGAGTGATGAAAACATGCCTCACTTCACAGTAGTACCTGTGAAGGATCAAGCTCAGAGCAGCTACGACAGCCTGGAGGGGATTAACTGGGTTGATTACAGGGATACTGGGCAGGACTGCCATGACCAGCAAGATACTGTTAGTTCAGATGGTGAGTCTCGCAACCTTCTGTCTCTTTGTTACGACAAAATGTGATCTGGACTTTTTGATGCGGAGTCTCTTTTTCAGTTGAGGCTGCTTCATGAGCTGCTACTATCACAGCATGGGCCAGATTAGTTTTGTCCTGAGAGGCTTCTAAACATCTGGTTACCATGGCAATAGTTCAGGGCCAGAAAGTGTGCTTCTGCTGCAAGATTTTGTTTTTCAACTCACTTTGGGAAAGTTGGGAAAATATGTGCTGTTTTTTTCCCYCCATCATGTGGCAAGTGTTAAACATAAGCTCAAGGATGGTAACAAAAGGRCAGCAATAAAAACATAAAAAAAGAAAAAAAAAACCTGTGCAAAACTTACTGCGTTGGTGGGACACTACAAAAGAGGGCCTCAAGTAGATCTCTGCACAAAAGATGAAGCTTTCTTTGTGCCAGGGGAGGGTTTTCTTTCACATTTCGCCTGCTCACTGAGCACACCAGCAAATTTCCTCGCTTCTCTGCCTCAGCACGTCTCAGCTGTCATTCACATGTTCCTCACTGAACCATCGTAAAGAGAGCAGGGAACACAGCAACAAAAAAAGAAAAAAAAGGAAATACAAAACAAAAAAAGAAAAAAGCAAACAAACAAACAAAAAAAAAAAAAGAAAGGCAGCAAAAAGTGAAGATAGTTGCTCCCTCCTGGGCACATTTTATGTGTAAGCAGTGCCTGTTTATGTGGGCAGAGTGGAATAAAAACAAAAGGGAGCCAGGGTTTTTGCTTCCCCCCTGTCTTTAGTCAACCACTCACATGGGTGTAACCTTAAGAAAAAGAAGCACCCTCTGTTTACCCCTAGGCTGTGCGCAATCCAACATTTGATAAGCATTTCTTCCCTTTTAATTTTGCTTAGATTACATATTTAAACTATTCATCATCTGGAACTTTTTAATGAAATTATTCAATACTTTAACAGAAAAAAAWAATAAAAATTTGTTCACCCAAGTGAAATCTGAAAAGCATGAGCTCATTCTGTCTGATTTCATGGCTGGACCGAGTTGTTTCACCCACAGCGTGACTTGTGATGCATGGAGGAAGTGACACAGTGTGGCGTCTGTTTCCAGGCTCTGAGCTCAGCTCTGTCCGGCACAGGGCAGGACCAGCACTGTGGTTACTGTGGCGCTGTACTGGAGGCCCTAAAATAACCTTCGCATTCAGGGTGGAAAAAATTTGCTTGCTTTTTTAGGTTCTGGTCTTCCTCGCTGCTCTGTGATTTTCAGAAAGTCAAGCACACACAATTTCAAAAGCACAGTACTCAATGACATGTTACTGTTCAGACTATAGCTCAGTGTTCATGAAATTGACATTAGTTATTGYCATTGTTGTGTTTGCTAAAGCTGCTTAGCTGTGGCAGAAACAGGTGGACTCAACAAGTTAACTACAGGATTACTTTCTGAGAGTTTTATTGAAATATGTCCAGTGTTACATAAGATATTTTGCTGACAGACAAACACACCCAATTACACGATCATTGTGATTATAATATTTCCTAAAAAAGGCAACAGTTTGTTTAAAAAAGCAAAAACAAGATAAATAGAGGAGACATGAATAAAATGTAGCAACAATTTGCTAGATGCAAATTGTTTTACAAAATGTGATATCTCTGAAAAACAAACCAATAAACTTTTAGTTAGCTTTGATCACGGACTTGAAATGAAT